AAAAAAAAAAAAAAAAAAAAAGGGATCATACTTGAGTGACTGGGTGAATGGTGGTACCTTTTTTTTGACCCGGTATGTCAGTTATAGTAATATTGGTACTATAACAGATTAAACCCGTTTCAGCATTCTCAGTGGCTTAACACAGTAGAAGTTTATTTCTCACTTTTGTAAAGCCCCATAGGGTGCTCCTGATTGTCAGGGCAGCTGTTTTCCAAGCGAGGTTCAGGGACCCAGTCTCCTGCCATCTTTTTTTTTGGAGATGGAGTGTCACTCCATGGCCCAGGCTGGAATGCAGTGGCACGATCTTGGCTCACTGCAACCTCTGCCTCCCAGGTTCAAGCAATTCTCCTGCCTCAGCCTGCTGAGTAGCTGGGACTACAGACGCAGGCTGCCACACCTGGCTAATTTTTTTTTTGTTTTAGTAGAGACAGGTTTCATCATGTTGCCCAGGCTGGTCTCGAATTCCTGAGCTCAGGCAATTACCCACCTCGGCCTACCAAAGTGCTGCGATTACAGGTGTGAGCCACCACTCCTGGCCTTCCTGCCATCTTTAATACATGACTTCCCAAGCAAGCTGGATGAGGAAAGCTTGGGGGTCAATGCCTGGGAAGCCTGAATGATCGTCAGATTCCATTGGTTCAAACTCAGTCCCATGGCCACAACATGCTGCAAAGGAGGCTGGGAAATGTAGTCTTAACAGGTGTCCAGAAGAGGAAGTGCATTTGGTAAACATCTGGCTAGTCTGCCATGGAAAGAGAACTCTGGGGGCAGGAACAGATTGAAGTTAAGTTAGAGAGGATCAGGAATCCTGTTTTCTACAGACTCAGTTTGAGGACTCAAAGTGGGGATATTGGGTAGCCAGCCCCTGGAGGAGCAATGGAGTCATCAGTCGATGGTTCTTTAAAGCCATGGGACTGGATAAGCATCTCTAGGGAGAGAGGGAGAGTGTGTAGATAGAGAAGAGGTCTGAACCCTGGGCATGGCAAAAATCCAAAGTCAGGAAGCAAAGGAGAATTCACAAAAAGACTGAGAAGAAACCAGAGAAACGGGAGGAAAAATCACGGTTCCAAAAGCCCAGTAAAGAATGTTTCAAGGAGAGAAGGATCACCTGTCATGCTGCTGAGGTATCAAGTAAGATGAGCCCTCAGATGTGTGTGTGCATTGGTGTTGGCAACATGGAGGTCGTTGGTGACCTTGACGAAGTGGTGTGATAGGAACAAAAGCCTTGTTGAGTGGAACTAAGAGAGGCTAAGAGATGAGGAAGGGGTGACAGTGAAATAGAGAGCTCTTTTTAGGCTTGGAATGAAGGTGAGCAGAAAAGTAGAGTGGAACTTAAGAATGATAATATGGTAGACAGTGTGTAAGACTGAAGAAATGACAGCATTCATATGAAAATAGGGACAATCCAGTCATAAGGGACAAGCTGATAAAATGAAACATTTCCCAATATTTTATCCAGGAGCTGGGGCTTCAGCAGTGGACAAAAAGCCAAGCTCTTTGTTCTTGGGCAGGGTTCCTGAGCGGAAGATGGATATGCAAAACAAACCACCTGAGTGCCCTGCATCCAGTTACAGTGGATACGTAAATGATTATCTTCCATTCCTATTTCCTCCTGTCAGACAAAGCCCTGTTAACCAATCTGCAAACATTCTTTCAGTTAGGGTTTTTCAGTATTCTGGAACACACACAATGTGGCAACGTACAGAACACAACAGTTTATCCTTTAGTCAGTTTTTGCACTTCCTGTTCAAATTCTGTTTAGAAAGCAGAGTTTTAGGCTTTTTGCTCTGGTAGTGGGAGTATTCAGTCTAAGAAATGAGCATTGTTCAGAACTGAAAGAACTTTCATATACTGAAATACTCCCCTCATTGTGTTAATAGCTGTACATCTGTCTGGCCTTGGGGGTGGTGCTCATCATGGTAAGATGCTTTTTCTCTTTACAAACCATGTTTGCCTATAGGAGGATAAGATTCATCATGTTAGCTATAATAGTGCCATACTGTAAGGGTACGTGTGTTTTTTTTTTTTTTTTTTTTTTTTTTTAAAAGGCACGGTCCCACTCTATCGCCCAGGCTGGAGTGCAGTGGTGTGATTTTGGCTCACTGCAACCTCCGACTCCTGGGTTCAGGCAATCTTCCCACTTCAGCTTTTTGGTTAGCTAGGACTACAGGTGCACACCATCACGCCTGGCTAATTTTCGTATTTTTCGTATGGATGGGGTTTCACCATGTTGCCTAGGCCGGTCCCAAACTCTGGGGCTCAAGCAGTCTGCCTACCTCAGCCTCCCGCAGTGCCATGATTATGGTTGTAATTATAGTTGTTTCAGGCTTACAGAACATTATGAAAATAGTACATAGAATTCCCAAATACCTTTTACCCAGATTCCTCAAATGTCAGCCCTGTTTTATCCTTTTCCATCTCTATCTGTATGTATATGTGTGTGTACACGTATACTGTTTTTTTCTGAGACACTTGAGAGCAATTTGCTGACTTGTTGACCTTTTGCTTTTAAATATTTCAACCCTTTTCTAGGCCAAGCGAGGTGGCTTATGCCTGTAATCCCAGCACTTTGGGAGGCCGAGGTTGGTGGATCACATGAGATCAGGAGTTTGAGACCAGCCTGGCCAAAATGGTGAAACCTCATCTCTAGGCCGGGCGCGGTGGCTCACGCCTATAATCCCAGCACTTTGGGAGGC